AAAAAAAAAAAAAAAAAAAAAAAAAAAAAAAATCACTGTACCAGAGCAAGCATCTGCTGCCCTCTCTACCAGTCTAAAGATTATAGTCTTTAAGATTCACCAGAACACAAGACCAACTGTTCTGCAATAATATGACCCTGAATTCTGCACTACTATTTTGCACTATCCTGGACAGAAAAACCTCCTTTTACGTCTCTTGACTCTACTGAGATAATCTCCTGTCCTCTAACTTGGTTTAGGACCCGACATCCACCTAAATGCAAGTAAATTCTAAAATCTTGTCATCATCTATCAAGATTATAACCACTATATACTTCTTAATTTTAATTTGTTCTACAGTTTCTAAAGAAAACCTGTAGAGTTTAAACGTAGGGCAGGAAAAAAAAAAAAGAAAAATCACACAGTAACTGCAACTCAGGCTATTTAACCAGCRCACGTGCAAGGCACCTATATGGTAATTTACTGTAAGTGTACAGTAAACTCGCAATAGATTAACTGGTTTGTCAATATGAGGTATAATTATGCAGGTATCCCTATAATAGCACGTAAAGAGACAGCCATGTCATCAGATTTATTAAAGGGAGCATTTATTCAGCTATGAGGAAGACACCGAGGAAGATGCACAAGCACAATAGCTGGCTATGTTATTTACCTTACCCTGCCAAAAGGGTTATTGGAAAAAAATGCCATCTCTATCCACGCTAAGGAAGCACAGAAAATGTTGGCATCAAACACCCATCCCCACCAGCACAGGGCTGTGCCTGCAGCATTCCTGAGCAACATTACTTGCAACATGGTAGTCCATGACAAACGGGAGAGAGCAAGTTTTTAAAGGGGGAGAAGCAAACGGATGGTGGGTGTCTTCACAAAGGCTACACAGAAAAACAGTTTTAAAAAATGGCTCCAGTAAATGAGAAAAGAGGGGCCCTTTGACAGCGCATCCCGCCACCGGGGCGGCCTGCAGCCTCCAGGCGGGCTGCAGAGGGCCCGGCCGCGGCCTGCTCCCGCCGGAACGCGGGGCACCTCCCCGGCCCCGCGGCGGGAGGCGGCGCGGGCCGNCGGCGCAGGGGCGGGGGCGCCGCCGCCGCCTCCCCGCGCAGCCACCACGTCGACGGAGCCAACACTGCGGAAATGGGAGCGGCGCCGGGCCCGGCGCCCTCCCCCGGCCCGCGCCGCTCACCTGTGTCCCCGATGATGATGTACTTGAAGAGATACGCGTAGGCCATGGCCGCGCCGCCGCCGCCTCGCGCTGCCTCCTGCGTGACGCGCGCTCTGCCCCCGCTGGCGCTGCGGAGAGGTCGAGACGGTTAACGGCCCTAACGGCCGCCGGGCGGGCAAGGGCGGGGGGGGCGCTCCCTCCTACCTTGTCCCGCCGCTCTGCGCGGGGGCGCTCGCTCTGCTCTGCCCCGCTCCCTCCTGCCCTCCTTCCTGCCTCCCGCGGCCCGAAGCGGCGGGAAGGGCGCGCGGCGAGAACAATAACAGCGCGCGGCGCCCCCAGCCCCGCCGGCAACGTCACGCACCAGCCCCGCGCTCCGCCCCGCGACGCGACGCGGCGCGCACGACCCGGAAGTGCTGAGGCCCCCCCCTCCCACCCCCACCCCGCCCGGGGCCCCGGGAACATTTTCCTGTAATAAAAAAATCAGCGCTCGCTTTTTGTTTGTTTGTTTGCTTTTGTTTTATTTTCTGTTTTCTGATTTTTTTTTTCTTGTGGACATGGAAAACAAATGCTCATCTTGAAAAGAAAGGCAGCTCATTTTATAACACGAAAGTTCTGTCTGCATTGCTTTTATGCACGGAAAGAACCAGTGCTTTCAAACCTACCCCATCAATCGTTTGTCTTCTCCCTCCCGCCCACCTCGTCTCCCCTCCCAGACTTCTGTTTTCTCAACACTATTCGTAAAGTGGGGTCCCCCMAAAAAAGTCCTCCAAAATAGGAGGTCTCATGTCCATGACACATAGCCTTGTTATCCTCAAAAAAAGTTGTGGGACTCTCTCCAGGGCAGGTGGACCAGCAGCTTGCCGAACGTGACCTTGCTTTTCGGCAACAGCATCWGAAGAAATGTATTTTTCATCCTAGCCGCCTATTCTGCTGTATCTAGCCAGTTACTATGCAAATATCGCCATACATTTGATATCTCTTCATGGAGGGTTGTGTTGGCTTTCACTAAATTTTAGCCGTTTTGACCAGGACCACTCAGATTGTGAAGGCATTTATTTATTTATGTTATTCCATTGCAGTTGTTCTGTTACCCAGGTTTTTTATTAAAAAAAAAAGTTTTCTAACTATTTTTATAACTTTTATAATTTTATTTTTATAACTTTGTAACTTTTTTTTTTTTCAAAACATGCATTCCTAGTGATTTCTTATACTGCTCTTTTAAGATTGTGATGCAGAAGAGTGTTAAAACCTTCCTGAAGTCCAGATGTGTCATGCACCTTTTTGCCTTCGGGCCGTGTAGCTTTCTAGAGAAGGAAAATGGTTGGTTTGATCCTTGCCTACTCTTAAGAAATCCTTCTGCTCTGTTGATCACTTATTCTTTTTACATCCCGTTTAACTTCCATGTGATTTTACTTATTAGAAGTGGAGTTCCAGTGGAATTTTTCATTAATTARCAATTCAGAGTGTCTTTTCTCAGGAAAACAATTTTTTTTATTACCTCATTATCTGAGAAAAATATGGGCTTCCTGTTCCCACAGCTAGGTCTGCCTCTGCCTTCCGTATCCCAATAAATTTTCATTAAAATAGCATCTGTATGGAGAGAAGTACTGTTGCTGAAAGAAAATCTGTAGCTGAGGTCAGTTAAAATATAAATTCATTTTGAAATGAGYCCATCTATAGGGAAGAACTTCATGTTGCCTTCCATTTGGTGGCCACCAACCATGGGGCACAAAGCAATGGGAAACCAAGCACCCTGAGGCCACAAGCAGGCCAGGTGTATTTTAATACCAAAGTAGAGACTGCTGCCGATGGAGATGGTGCAACTCTGCACCCTCTAACCTGCTCTTGCTGCCTCCCATGTTCTGGCATTGTTTGTGTGTTCTGTGGAGCAGGAAAATAACATGGCTGGACTTTATCCGTGAAGCAACGGCCCAGCCTGGGAGGTCAGTCCCGCAGCCGGGTGTTGACTCACAGCACGAGCCCCGCTATTGAGGCTCTCTGTCCCCACCGGCAGCATTCAGGGCCACGTGGGCCTCTGTGCCTTCAGCCTCATCTGCACGGTCCTGTAGTCCCTYGTGTGACATGTCCCACGTCTCCTGTGGCAGGATCCAGAATCCCTGCAAGCTTGAGCCGCAAAGAACTTGGGTCTGAGGGCTGGTCGAGCCTTGGCAACCTCTCCATATTGTCCCAGTGTCATGTTTACTTCACTGGTGGGATTGGTTTTCGGATTCATGGCGGAGGATCGGCCACTTGGGCGGCCTGCTGGCTCCATGGCAGGCAGGAAGGCACCTGTACTTGTGCTCAGTGGCTTCATATTCAATAAATAACCAAATCACTTCTGCTTATCCAGTCAGCCTGGTGTTTAACAGGTTTTATCTGCACATACCTGTGGAGTATTTCAGTTACGTGTGACCCTACTACTTGGATGTTTAGGTATGGGTGTTTGGTAGAGGTTTGCAAGGATAACCAACACAAATGTGTTGCTTAGGCTGTCCCCTGGCAAACACAAGCTAATTTGTTGCTGGATGACTGTATACCTAAATTACTCTCTTCTATCAGCAGTTCCACCAATTTCYGATGGCTCCAATCGGAGATTAAAGCAAAATTGATTTTCCAAGTTGCGTTTACCATTTGTTTAAATGCTGTTAAGAGACTTGTAAGTAAATAGGCATTGCATTTGCTTATTTTTTTAGCTCTCTGTTTTCCAGACAAGTGAATAGTTTCCAGACAAGTGAAGTTTTGATGCTTTTTTTAAGCATCAAAACATTAAGTGTTAATAGAAAGCTGTCATGGACTGATTCTTGATTATTCAAAATATGATTACCCAGTAGATGTAATGGAAGCAGTGGCTATTCAGTAATGAGACATAAGGCTTGTAGAGGGTTATTTTGGTCTTTTTTAAATGTTAGTTTGAATAATACATGTTATCTATCAGTAATTTTATCTAACAAGCTCTTTAGAAACATGATATATTTGTCTTAGATAACAGCATTGGGATTATATGGTGGCAAATTTAATACACTTGAGAGGACTGATTTGCTCTTTGCTCTCTCTCAGAGGCCTGGGGTTTATAGCAAAGCCTTGGGCCCTGTGGCATCCTTATTACCAATGGGAGTATTTGGGAAAGAGCCCTGGCAGCATCCAAAGCTCTAGCTGCTCTGCAGAGCAAGCCAGCAGACAAAAACGTGGTGTGGGACCAGAGACTCAAAAGTGAACCCTGGCATTGCACTTGAACAGAGCCACATTTGTTTGCATCGTTGTTACTGTCGCTTGACTGTTTGAAGTCAAATGCTTCCTCCTCCTCCATTTATTATTATTATTATTATTATTATTATTATTATTTAAGCATTTCTTTCTGCTATTAACTTATTTATATAGCTGTGGAGCAGGTTGTATAAATGTTATTTGATAGTAGTAGCGTTGCATTTACTCAGTCCGTTTGTACTTTTTCTGTATGGTAATTTTATGCCACACCATGTTATTGGTGAATTTAATGATTTTTTTTTTAATTTAGCTTTGTATTTTATAAGAAGGCAATATATAGGTGTATTTTATKTTTCTATAAATGTCTAGAATGAATTAATGCCTTAACACACAGAGCAGATTCTATAGGAGGAGAGTACCTGAGTGTGAGTGTGAGTGGAGGCCAGCCTTCTGGAAGATGAACCCCAGTCTCTGTGAAGTACAAGGAGTGGACAGYGGTTCACTTGCCATCATAATTTTTCCATATGCTAGGTAGAAGACCTAGGATATTTTGAGATCCTTTATACGCTACCATAGAATGGCCTTCAGATGTTAAAATTAAGGACTATAGAGACAGTCTAACCTACTAATAAATCAGAATTGGCACCTCATTTGTTATATCTCTTTATGCAAAGCTTCCTTTATCCTCAGATATGTCTCAGGATGTAGGAATCCTTCTCATATGCAGCCAGAGAACTGTCACAATTTCTTTCTGTATTTTTTTTTTGTCTTTAACATTGAAATTTCTGGTGGAATATATGTTTACCATATCATTGAAAAATTGCAAGGTGCTACCTTTCTGAAATTCCCTTTTGGTTTCTCTTCCACTCATTGCTGATTGGGTCTCATGTGAAGAGCCCCAAGCATTACCCATGGCACTGTACCTTATTCCAGGGATCAAATTCCACTTTTTCCCTCCAAGGTTTTTTTTTTTTTTTTTTTTTTTTTTTTTAATGATAGGGAATTTAGAAGCATCAGCAGGAAATCAGATGAATTTAGTCTCTTCACTTCCTGTGGACAGGAATGCACGTTCCCCCTTCTAGGTCAATGTGATAGATTGTTTATATCTTGGACGGGCAATTCAGTGCATGCTTCTAGCCTGCATAGAAAGAAAGAAGCTAAGTGGCGGTGCAAGGAGCCCTGCATCCCCTTGGCTTGATAACGGGGTTCTCACTTACATGCCTGGAATACAGGCTCATYTTTACTTGCTTTTTTAGTCTTTGCTTTCAGGAAAGCGAGCATGGCTTTACATCTGAATGATGGTAACCTGTGCACAATGACTGCTTTGCCAGGCATGTCTTTCACAGCGGAGTAAACACATTGGCATCTCTGTTTTCATCTCATTTTTACAGTCCTCTTCCAGATGTCCCACTTGAAATTCATGCCCAGTTCTGAAGTTCTGACCTGTAGGTTTTGATATCTTTAATCTAGAGCAATCATATGAATCACAAGCTAGACTGACATGAAATACATCCCATAGCTTAATTTGGCACCTTCTTCAATTTCCTGCACTAGAGACTTAGCTATCGTGCCAGTAGCTTTCACCTCCTACTAAGACTTAYTAAACAAGTGTAACTCCTCTCTATACTGCATGCAGAGGTGTCCTAAACTGTTCGTGTACCTAGGCTTTGCTCTCCGATTCCACCTTCGACATAAATGAGTGGGTCAGTCGCATGGCTGACAGTCATTTAATCACTGCATTCTCTACCCCTGTAGCCCTCAGAGACTTTTTGTTTGTTTTTATTTTCTTTTACAAGCAACACCTATTTTATTTTATTTTATTTTATTTTATTTTATTTTATTTTATTTTATTTTATTTTATTTTATTTTATTTTATTTTATTTTATTTTATTTTATTTTAGTGTGCAGGAGCCTGGCAAGGCTGGGCCTGTCGAGGCAGCCTGCTCTAGTTACTGAATGTTCTCGTACAGATAAACTGCATTTACAAATCATTCTGAATGTAAAATTGAGATTCTTCAGCATTTTTGTTTTAAAAGTAAAGTCTTGAAGCTGCATTTACAAGTCAGTRCA